TGATTGTCGTTTTGATATACGTGTCAGTGATTCAGTCTGGTATTTACGTGCACAAAATCCTGATGATCGTGAACGATGGAGACAAGCTTTAGAAGATCATAAACAAATATGTAAAAGTGAATCTGGTTATGGAAGTGAAACAAGTTTAAGACGTCATCCAAGTCTTGGATCATTGGCATCGACAGCCAGTGCTGGTGTTGCTTCAACTGGTTCATTTAGAGTAACTATACTATCATATAAGGAACAAAAAAAAAAGATCTTAATATTTTGATTTTATAGAAAGATCGTAATCTGATAATAAAATTAAGTGAATTAGAAACATATCGTGAATTATTATCACAGCAAGTTGCAACATTACAAACCTATTTTGATGCATGTGCTAATGCTGTAACAAAAGGTTTTGAACCATATCAAAAAGAATGTTAGTCAAATCAATTCTATCATATAAGAAAAAAATAATCTAAAAATATTTAGATGAGAATGCAAATGATTTAGATCTTGAAGAACCATTGGATAAAAATTATGCTATGCCAGCTTTACATGATGAAACAGGCAAAAATTCACCATCAAAATTAAGTTCGTTTTTATACAACATAAAAAATTTATATTTTTTAATTAATTTTTAGGAATCGATCAATTGGCACTTGTTGATCATGCAGCTATGGCTGTTGATTTTAAAGGCGAAGGTTTATACGCATATTATTTCGTTCTTTTTCTGTGTGTAAATTTATTTTTGTCATATTTTCTATATAGCTTTAACATTTAAAGCAACCACAGATGGTGTAATACATAACTTAACCTTTTGCATTGAATTAATGCAAAAACGAGAAGAGGTTTGGAGAAAAAAATATGAAAAAGTAAATAAAATTAAAATTCATATTAGATTTTAATGTTATTTTATATTAATAGGAATCCGAACGTCGAAAAAGATTTCAAGATTTATATACTAAAATAGTCAAACAAAAAATTCCTGCACTCGGTTCACCCGATGCTGAAGTAAATAGATTGCAACATGAAAGTAATGCTTTCTTTAATCATTGTTTTTTTTTTTGTAATGTTAAAGGAAGGGCCATACAGTACATTAAATGAAGATGAATTTTACGATGCACTTGATCAATCACTCGATCGACTCGATCGTGAAACTGACGATTTACAATTTTCAGTAAGTATTTTAGTTTCTTCTTTTGTTCATATTTATAGATATATTATTCATTCAAAAATGTATTGTCAGCGTTGCAGATAAGAATAAAATTTATAAACCTATGTGCTTTGAAATAAAAAAAACGAAAGAAAAGTACATTTTTTTACTTTTTCTTCCTTGTTTCTTTCATGAACTTACAAGATGATGAAAAAAAAGTATCGAACCTTCTTTTATTATATTTTATTCATGGTTTTCATTACCTCTTTCTTATTCTTCGATCAATATTATTACATCATCGTTAAAAATGATGATTCGTCACAGAAGCTTGCTTTCTATACATGATGGTCACATGTGCCTCCAGTACAATTGGAAGAGGAAGACATGTAAACAATATCAAAAAAAAAAAAACACTACATGCTTTCTCTCTTCTTTTTCTCTATAAGTGTTAGCTACACTCACTATTAAATATATACACAATCTACGGCCTATAAACTTGTGTAACAACGATAAGAAAAAAAGAAACTCGTTTCAATGAAACCAATAAAAAAAACTTTTCATATCCCACCATCATATACATTTACATCCGATTGTTCAAATCCAGCTACGGTTATATCTCTAGCATCATTTGTTTCATCTTGTTCCTCCCCATTAAGTCATGTTGGAGGTTTACGACCTTCTTATCAGCAACGTAAATTTCTTTCAACATCGAGCACATCAACTTCTTCTTCTTCTTCTTCTTCTTCTTCTGCTCTTTCGATTGCTGCTATTCACATTACAGACGATGGTAATTTTGAAACACCACTGTCTACAAGCAACAGTAGTGATGATTGTTTTGAAATGAATCCATTTGAAAAGTTATCTAAAAAACAAACTTCACAGTCATTAAATAAGGTTCGATATGAATTATCTTCAAATATTTATCTTTATTAGATATACATGAACATATTCACTTAGTTGTTTTTTTTTTCATGATGTTTGTTTTAGGCAAAATTATTCTCTTCTTCGTCAAAATCTTCCATTGATCATCGATCAACAGCAAAGAAATCAAAAAGTTCTACGGTATCAGATTCGATTAAACCTACTTCTACAACAAATAGTGATGCAACAGTGGCTGTAACACTAAATAATGAAAATATACTTCCGAAAGGAAAGCATCGATTAGCTAATGATGTAAATCGAATGTTCTATTCTTTTTATTGAATGATTAATGAATATTAATATAATTTATTAGGTTGAACGTGTTGTTCAAGAACATTTGACATATGTTCGTGAAGAAATTAGTGATGGATGGGATTTAATTCATCAAGAAGGTGAAATGAAAGTCTATCGACGTGAAGTTGAAGAAAATGGAATTGTTGTTGATCCATTAAAAAGTTTTCATTCAATTAAAGTAAATTCATTTTTATCTTTAATAAAAATTTATATTAAATTTCATTAGGGTGTTACTGGTCATGAAATTTGTCGATATTTTTGGGAATATCAATATCGTATGGAATGGGAAAGTAAGTTATATTAAAAATTATTTTATACTTTTTATTTGAAAATTTTTATTTTAGCAACACTTGACTCAACAAAAATTATTGAAGTATTAGATCCAGATACAGTTATCTTTTTTCAAATGCATAAACGTGTATGGCCAGCTGCTCAACGTGATTCATGTTTTTGGTCTCATATTCGTTGTATATCAAATTCTGAAGAAGATCAACCAACATGGCTTGTTGTTAATTATACTACTTCACATCCTCTTGCACCTGTAAGTAGAATAATTTATTCTTTTCTTAGTTAAATTTGTTAATAAATAGATAAAACCACCTCAAGTTCGTCTTGTTGCAAATGTTGCTCTGATATGTGAAACAATTATTAATGAACCACCATTAAATCCGAATGATATTAAACGAGAAAATATTGAATGTAAACTGACATACGTTGCTTTTGGTAAGATTAAATTCTTTTTTTTTTTTTTTCTTTCTCAAACTGATGATACGATCGAGAGATTAGATTCATTTTAAATTTAATATCTTTCATTTCTCATAAGGATTCAATGTAAAAAAAAAAAAAGAATGTTTCTGATGATTTTTCTCTTGATGACTTACTAGCAAGCTGAAAAAAAAGCTTAATAGTATCCTTAATGTTTCAATAATAAATATGTATATAACTGAATATCTATCAGAATGGAATGTATATATTTTTAACTCAATAAAATCTAGGGTTTCATAACTTGAAGCATTAAGAAAGTATTTGAGTTATGCAAACTTAATAGATATGATGTATAAAATGACGAATCTTTCGTAAAAATATCTATATTAGCCTTCAATCTGGTATTTTTGGATGATATATATCACTCTGATGTTATTGTCAGAAAGGTGTTAACCCCTATGATTATAATGATGAAGAATATTTTATCAGACAAAATTAAACAGAGGTTAAAAAAAGATCAGAATAAAGAGTTGACTAATTCTTTCAGAAGAGTATTTTTATATCGATATTTGTTTGTCTTCAAATTTAACATGGTTCATATATAATATATAAAGAATGAATTTATTGCTGCTAAGTTTTATTCAGTCATTTTCCAATCCAAGAAACAAAGAACTGTCAGTTTATATATTTCCTGTAGAAGAATAATAACTGTCTTCTTTCAAGATTTAATCCTCGAAAAAAACTTAAATAACACTTCACTTGTTTATAAAAATACATTCGAATATAATTGTCCGATGTCGAGGTAGAAGAAGTCATTGATGCAATATTACAAAATGAATAAGTAAAGATGCATACTCTTTCTAGTAAAAAAAACAAACAAAATATGTGTCATATTTTTGTAATGAAAACGAAAATTAGAATTTATTTTGAAATCAAAGAAAATTATTTTATCGTTTTGTCTTTTGTGAACAATAAATTTTTTTATAGTATGTAAACAAAAACAAATTTTAATGCAGAACCTAAGATCTCTATGTTTTTGAAGTTTAACTTTTTTCATTGATTAATATTTTATCTATGGTGAACACTTGAAGATTAATACTCTCTCAATGATTAACTGCATTCGTTAAAACTTCAAATAGCCGTGCAAAAGTTTAATCTAAATAGAATATTACCACTGATTTCAATTGAACGTATAAAAGATTCAAACAACACATAATATAAATGCTATATGAAGCTATAAAAGGATAATATTTGTTTTTTGTTCTAGTCAATCCTGGCGGATGGGTACCTAGCGCAGCATTGAGAAGGTAAATTTTAATTAAATTTCTCTCTTGATAATATCTGAACATTATTTTCTTTTAATTTAGTGTGGCTAAACGTGAATATCCTCGCTTTCTGAAACGTTTCACAAGTTATGTTATCGAGCAAACACGTGACAAGCCTATTCAATTTTGATTTAATTCCATTGGTTTTTCTTTTTTGACGGATTTTTTATTTTTATCATCTTTCTCTCTTGATCTGAATTGTGTTTTTTTTTGAAATAATTGCCACTCTATATTTCTTTGCATATCAATATTTGTTTTCTGTATTCTGTTATTGATGTCGTTATTTCCTTTGCTGATTTTTGACATCATTTACTTTCCTTCTCACACACCATGTGATGATGTGCACATTTTCTTTTTTTGTAAGAAATACTCAAACTATTTTGAAAGATCCATAAAAAGAGAAAGAATGTAACAGAGAGAAGACATGTAAGAAAGAAAGAATGGCTCTTTATCAATGACAAATGCTAGCATTGTGTTATCGTTTGGAGCAAGAGCTTTTTTTTTTCTCTCTTTATATTGACTATTTAAAAGAATATATACATGTATTTAGAATGATAAAGAATGCGTCATCTTCGACGCCTATGCGACCGACTACTCATATTCAAAAAGATTCATATATGTTTTCTGAAGAAGTACTAAAATCACCATCGAATCATATTTCTATGGATGTATCGAATATTGTTACACCACAACAACCTAAAAGTCAACAACAACAACAACAACAACAGAATGAAAAACATACTAAAAAATGGTCTATTGATGATTTTAATATTGGCCGACGATTGGGAGAAGGTTCTTATTCAACTGTAATTCTTGTTGAAGAAAAGAAAACAGGCTTTCTTTGTGCTCTCAAAGTAATTAAGGTATGTATTTACATATATATATATATATGCATTCAAAATTATTAAATTTGTTTCAAATAGAATAAAAATCTTAAAATATCCGTTTTTTTTAGAAATCAATCATTCGACAATATCAACAAGAACATCAATTAATACGTGAACTTGAAATTCATATGCGTCTATTTCATAAACATATATTACGAATGTATGATTTTTTCTATGATTCAAGTCGTATATATGTTATACTTGAATATGCAGCTAATGATACATTAGCTTCATATTTAAAACGTCATCAACGTTTAGATAATACACGAACAGCAACATTTATATATCAAATAGCTGATGCACTGAATTATTGTCATCATTTAAAAATAATGCATCGTGATTTAAAACCAGAAAATATACTCTTAGGACAATTTCATGAAATAAAATTAGCAGATTTTGGTCTTGCACTTCATTGTCCAAGTTCAAGAAGAACACAATATATTGGTACAATGGACTATATGGCACCTGAAGTTATTGAAAATGAAGATGTAAATATTGATGATTTATCATGTTCATCTGTTGATTCAACAACCACCAAATCACCTATGCCATATGAAGAATCAGCTGATTTATGGAGTTTAGGTATAATAACATATGAATTACTTGTTGGTACAACACCTTTTTATGATCCAGATTTAATTGTAACAAAAAAACGTATTTTGTCATGTGATTATGTTTTACCCGATTATGTACATACTGATGCCGGCCATTTTATTAATCATTTACTTAAATATGATCGACAACAACGTTTAACAATACCAAATGTCTTTGAACATAGTTTCATTCGAACATTTGCACAAATTAATTTTCTTAATGAAACCCTTCACCATTTTGCTTCAATGCATCATTCCCCAAACAATACGTAATAATTATGAAATGAATTGTATTATATCAGATTTCTTATTTTTTTTCTTTTCGAAGAATGTTATATGTATACATAGATGAATAAATGAGCGAATTGTAATTTTATAATACTCTTTGAAGAAAATGTGATAAAAAGAGGAAATTGTTCCAATGATAAACTGAGCCGGTCATTCGATAAAGCACATTGGATAATTCCTAAAACGAAAGTTTCTCGAAACTTGATGCAAAAAAATCGAAGATAAATAAGAATGTGAAAAGAGTATCTATATGAAAGTATACGTAGAAGAAAAAATCATTTTTCTTTCCGACTTGCATTATTATATACTAATTGATTGATTCAATGAAGTATTAGTTTAAAAAACCTTTCAAAAGCTATAAAGCTTCTAACTTATGAAAGAGCAGGCTGTGCGTACGTGAAAAATTTTGTAATTTGAAAGTTCTCTGTCACTGTTGTTCATGATTTATCTTATCGAATACGTTTGACATTGATTCTAAGAAGACGTTGCCAAGTGACAAAACATTGCGCAGCTGACGAGGGAAGGTTCCCAGGTGTTCAAGCCGTTTCGACCCCATCTTTTGACCATAAGTAGACCTCAATGAGGTATGAAAGAGCTGAAAAGGATTCATTCCCTCGCGCCTTTGTTCCTGAAATATTGAATTTTCAAGATATGATATAAGGAAACGAGAATAAAACGATCAATGACTCTTTTTGAGAGAAGTGAAATATTAAAGACTGAAGCTTTTTTCCAGTCTTATGCGTTCTTTATCCGATCTGTTTTGATTTGAGAGGTAGATATAATCTTACCTATAATGATTCTATTCATTGTTCATGAATCGAAAGAATACACAAAATTCCTATCTTGTTTTTGATATTATTTTAAAACACAACGATCTGTCTACTGAAAATCAGTGAAAATGATAGTTCAAGAAAAAAATGAGTGAAACATAGTGGTTTGCGGCATTCGCTGCAGCAGATTAAAGGCGCTGCCTGATAGGATGGAGCAACACACATCTCAACATCTAGTGAGAAATACACTTCGGTCACTGTTTCGAAAGGTCCTGGATGGATATCCGTATAACCACTAGCGTATCAAGCGTATTGAATCAGCCGACGAAAAGTTTCGGATGTCAATTGATTGTGATTCAGAGAAGTGAGACGGATGATATTATTGCGCTCGCACATATTGATATCAAGTTCATCGAGCATCACACGATCATAGACTCAACGAGGAATCACTTTCATTTGTCTGTTGAAAAAGACATCCAATGGTTGAATTTGAGCCGTTGTTCTCTTCGATATCTCAAGCCTTATGCATCCTGAGATGTAATCATATAGCCCTTTTCCATCCGTCTGCCCTCCTCAACACTCCGAGATGAGTAGAAAATTTTTTCGCTGCATAAGTGATGGAAGGAGAACGTGATTACTCCAATGTTCATCTAAGGACGTCGTGAGCTTTCCAGAACTGTGGCAAGTGACGATCACGTTCGAAGTCTTGAAAAGACGTGATCGAATATTCTCACTCATATGTTCCTTGGGCTCCTTCAAGCAGAGGTAGATTGGTGAGAGAAGCTGACCATCGAGTGTGATGGTAGGCTGTACCGGATAGCTGTAAGTATTGGCGTTTGTAGAGCGAACAGCGGCAACAGGTATTTTCTCACCCTTAACGCTCAATGTTTGAGTGGAGTGTAGTTCGAGTTCGATTCCACTTTGATCGATGTTCATGATCTCGCTCGCTTCATATTTCGGTAAACGTTTGCAAACATCAGCCACAAAGTGATCGGCCGAAGCTTGAATTGTATCTTGATTTTGTGTTTCATGTTTCGTTATAATCTATGAAAAACAGATATTTTTGGCAAGTTTTATCGCAAAATATTATCCAAGAAACTAAAGTTTTGTGTCAAACATAGATGTGTAGAACTCGCTAAATGGTCTTTCTTTCATTTTTCTCTGAGTGTCAGAAAGAAGGGCATTTTCCATATATTTCTGAGGACTAATCATGAATCTCCTTACCTTCGTCACTTTGCGAGATATAATATTGTGCTTATGTTTGAACGTATGAAGCCAGTGGTGTGAAGCCACGAAATCATGTAAAGATTCATTCATAGTTTTCTTCAACGCCCACCGAAGAAGATCAATACGATGCACGGGAAGAGTATTTCCATGAGCTCGTTCGAACATATCAAACACAGCTATCAACCTTGTCAGTTTTCTGCTTCTTTGTACCATGTCTCTCGAGATATCGACGAAAACGAGCAATGTAGGTTTGATGCGGATACGGCAGAAGTTATGTTTCACTGTCGACCACCGCCGCTTTCGTTGACCAGTTTTCCGATTGACTTCATCGTAGAAATTGACTGCTCGTGTCATGTATTCAAGTGAAAATTCGTTACGCAATATTCTATCCTCGTCTCCTTCTTCACCGCAATATTCAAGATCAAGTGATTCGTCAACTTCATCATTTTCATTTCTCTATCTCATTGACTAACTCGCCTTCATCTGATCCATGATCGAGGGTACTTTCAATCTCGAAAGTGTGCGAATGACTATTGATGATCGACTCAAGCACATTGTACAGCAGGTCAGCTACTTCACATTCACGGTTTGTAATAGAGGAAGTGGGAGTCGATGTGGTCGAAAAAACAGGAAACAGTAAGTTCGAAGCTCGATCAGTGAGAATTTTCACGACGTTCGATGGATTAATCATTTCGAAATAGAGACCAGTAAGACTGAAATCAACTCAATTCTTGTACCTCCTTAATATATTGTAATAGATAAAATGAAAGAAGAACGACTGTATAGCACAAAACACGCACAAAAGAGAACAGGATGAGAATATAACTAGTAGAACATGGAAGAAAGAGTGTAAGCGCATAACATTCATTACAGGAACGAGGTGGTATGCAGACAACGAAAGAGACAAGCTACAGTGCGAATAATGTATCATTCTCGCCCATCCATCAAGAATAATTGTATTTTAAAATGATATCAAAAACAAGATAGGAATTTTGTGTACTCTTTGAATTCATGAACAATGAATAGAATCGTTATAGATACGATTATATCTACCTCTCAAATCAAAACAGATCGGATAAAGAACGCATAAGACTGGAAAAAAGCTTCAGGCTTTAATATTTTACTTTTCTCAAAAAGAGTCATTGATCGTTTTATTCTCGTTTCCTTATACCACATCTTGAAAATTCAATATCTCAGGAAAAAAAGGCGCGAGAGAATGAATCCTTCTCAACTCTTTCATACCTCATTGAGGTTTACTTATGGCCAAAAGATGGGGCCGAAACGGCTTGAACATCTGGGAACTTTCCCTCGTTAGTTCGCGGAGTAGTCTTACTTTTTGTGAACTACGATACATATACGACGTCACTGACACATATTCTTGTACTGATGTTTTATCAATTCAATGAATTCTTTTGTACTTCCAACCCATAATAACGCCCATGTAATCGACTCATAAGGAACGAAATCGAAAATCATACTGACATTTAAAAGATAACAGTACAAGGTATTCTGATCAATAGTATTCACAGGCTTAATTCCTGTCTGCCTTGACTCGATGCGAAATCCGGATTATATTTGATCAGCCAGAATTTTGTTATACATATGAATTATCATCTTTCGAACCTAACCATATGTTACATGTTCGTCATAGTTCTTTGTCAGCAATACGTTTAAAATCTGTCAAAGTCACTCTATCAGGTCCGACAGCTGACTCTTTAATGATATTTCCAAGAGCTAAGACTGTATCTTCTCGTGTGATGGCTACTAGAAGAGCGCAGCTTTCAATTGAAGTCTTCTTTTGAATAGATACAGTGTCAGCGGTCGATGTTTCTTATCGATTTCAGTGATGTTCTGAAGTATTTGAAACATGTAATGATGTTTTAGATTTGATCAACCCATCAAAGATGTAATGGCGTAGCTGCGAATGCTCGATGTAAGTATTGAATCTACTCATACTTGAACTGACGCGCTCTCATTTATTCTAAACAGAGTCACTATATGCTCTAGTTTCTTTTGTGCAATTTAAATATAAAACTCTATTTGAATCTTTCATTTTAACGAATTTGAGTAAATTAAATAATTATAAATCTTTTTTTTTTAAACTTCTAATTAAATACACAACATATTAGCCGAATAAACAAAAAAAACAATAAACAAGATTTCTTATAATACAAACAAAAACAGATTCCACAGAACATTATTGTTTCTAAGAAAAAAAAAACCAAAGTTGTCATTATATCACTGTTAACTATCTGATTGAATATCAATTTCAAAGAGCTTGTACTCGTGCATAGTACAAATTAGAACTAGTGAGTGATGCTAGATCGGATGAAAGAGGTGGTCCATATCGTTGATGTTGTTGATATTGTCTCGTAATTGGTATTGAATCAACACTATTGGCAATATAATCATTACTTGTCCGAGTTGTTGTTGATGGAACCATAACACCATTATGATGAATTAATGGTTGTCGAGGTTTTATAGAAGATTTTACAACATCATTAGAATGTGAGTGTAGATTATGATGATGGCTAGATTTCTGACGACGGTGACGACAACAAAAAATAAAAAAGAGAATAAGACCAAGTACACAAAGAGGGATAACAATCACATAGAGTAAACTATTATTGATACTGGTCGAAGGTGTCACACCTAGAAAAAGAAGAAAATGTAATTTCGACTGACAAATCAAACACTTTAAATATCTTTTGAGTTTTTGAAAAGGACACAAATAGCACCGAGTATAAAAATATGTAATCCAAATCTGTAAAAATCTCTCACAATACTTCTGTTTAGAAGAAAATTTAACTTTTTATTCAATCATTAAAAAAACGATTATATATTCATAAAGAATTGATAATTTAAGATAAAGTAAGCAGTGGTTTTTTTCTAATCATTCTAAAATTTAATTAAAACTGTTTCTATTTCTATCGGGAAGCAAGACAGAAGTCTTTCGTTTCATACCTACTTAATTATCGAAAATTTAAACTTTAATGTAAAGTATGCTTTTTCAGTAAAAAGTATACCTCTGATAATAGACCTACTATTTATTTATTACATAAAAACAAATTATCGTTTTATACTTTCGAAAATTAGACAACCACCAGATCTGGAATTTTAAATCAATTCTATAACGATCATCCCTACAATTTCATGTCTAGTGGATGAATGTCAATAGCTTTTCTTTAGTAAAGCAACTAGTAGAAACATTCATATCTTCTTATTAGACAAATCAAAACTTACTACGATTTAAAATAGTTCGAAATATATTTGTATTGCCTATCATCATCTTATTTTAACGTCTACTTTTTTTTATAGGAATATTTGGTTTTGTATATCTGCTCGATTTCAAAGTTTAGTTCTTTCAAGTTAGAAATGTCCTCGTTTTCTTCAGACTTATTATATAAACATATACCATTTGTCTTACTTTCATGATTATCAATAATATTAATAAAAGCTTTTTTATAATTGGTAGCTTTATCATTTTGAACCAAACAAATATATTGTCCACCTTCCTTGGAAGTAATCGATGAGAAGAAAAGTGGTTTTGAAAGAATGTTATTTGAATATTGTAGTTCTTGAGATTGTTCGATATTTTCATATTGTTCTGAACCAAATACAATCGCATCAGGTCGAAATAATTGCAGAGTATCGATTTTTTTTAACCACTGAATTTTTGTTGTTGGTTCATTTGTTTGAACACGGCAATTAAGTAAAGCTGTTTTACCCTTTTCAACACTTGTGTTTTGAGGATCGTTACCAAAAAATTGTAATTTTTCTAAAAATAAAAAATTAAACTTTCATTAGTAAATGTTTTGGTTGTTGCGTTTGTTACCTGTAACAACAAGAATATATGTGGCATTGATAGCTCCAAATGAATTGAATAATTCACATGTATAATTGCCAGTATCTGACTGACGTAAGTCTTTAACTATTAATATTTGCGTTCTGGAAAAACAACACTATAATATAATGAAATAAAATAAATAAAATTGAAACATACTGTGTAACACCATATTCATCTTCTGATAATATTTTACCATTTTTCTTCCATCGTATTTCTGGTGGTGGTTTACCAGATGCTAAACATTTCAATTGTACAGTCGTACCTTCTGGTTGAATAACTTTAGTTGGCCCTATTTGACCATCATCATTCCGTGAAATAAATTCTGGTGCTTCTAAAATAAAAAACAAAATAAAATTCAAAATCGACTTAACATTAAACGGTAATACCTCCATTCAATGAATCTAAATCCCAGTTCATTACATTCCGTTGTTCATTATTATTACCATTATTTGATATTGTTCCATTCGCTATAATTATAAAATAAGTCGTCTACTTAATCAGTATTGAATAAAATTTCAAAAATACTTACATCTAATATTAATTTGAAATTGTGCTTGTATACTACCAAATCCATTGACAACATTACATTTATATAAACCAGCATCAGTAAAATGTGCTTGATGAATTTTTAATAAGAATCGTTTAATAACTAAATTTGATGATGACCACATAGGATCTAAATCTTCATTATTTTTTGACCATTGAATTGATAAATCAGGTGCATTAGTAACTGGGCAATGTAATTCAATTGGATTATTTTCATTTACGTCTAATATAATAAAATTTGATGTATTGGGCAACAGAGTAGGTGGTCCTAAAAATCATATATTTTAGATTTTATGATTAAAATATTATAAACTAATCAGTTAAAAAAAAACTATAAAACATTTGGTAATCATAATCTAAGAACTAGAAGTTTCGAATGAATTTCAAAAGTTTAATTTTCATTAGCAAGTTTAATAATAACTGTATTTTTATCAATGAGAATTGAAGCATGGATTTTTTTATTAAACATGAATACTTTGCACATCACATTCTTCTATTTCTATCAGTACATGATTCATAAGAAACATTATGAGTAATCGAGGGTTATGACTGCTGATAAAAGTGCAATAAAAACTTTACATTCATGCGCATAAATTCTTGACTTTATAACTGTATAGAAATATTTACTACTCTACAACCTTCCATCACGCGTTTTATTCAACGTTGCTTATAGAAAAAAAGTACAAACTGAAATTTATAATTCTTCATCAATGAAATTTAACTATTTATTATATCCATATTTTCTCTAAAAAGCGTGATTTCAAGTTGTTGCAGTTAACTAACATTTCAAATTTCCAGAGAAACTTATGGTAAAGTATATTTCAAACGTATTGTGTTGAGTTTTTATTATCAACATGCTTCTTTGTATTGACTATTACAAAATATATATATACAGATTTTTGTTATACATCTACAATATTGTTGATATTCTATCGAAATTTATTCATGAGAAAAAAAATACTAGTCTAGAACACTTGTTGATGTTTATTTTGTGAATAAGTAAAAACGTTTTACTATGTTACTAGTAAAAGGATGAACTATCCATACAAAAAAAGAATGGCCATTCCATACTTATTATAGTAACTATATTAGTTTTGAATGAACATATGGAATCTTTTAATAAACTACATTATAATCGATTTATGAATGATATAAAGTCAGTCATCATGTAAACTCATTGACGAACAAATCCATTGATAAATAAAAATCTTTTTTTTCGAGCTATAAAAGTATCATTGTATCGAACATTTTTTTTTATTACATACCTCTTGCAACAATATTTTCGAAGAAGAAAGATAACAAGAGAATAATTATTCGATTCATTTAAAAATCAGATGAAATCTAAAATGAAATAAAAACAATATATTTCCAACAAAAATCTTTTGAAACAATGAATGGCATAGTAATGCAATTAAATTCTTCTATAATAATAGATTATCAATGTTCAATCATACAATAACAATTCTTATAGGCATATGAAACCGTAATAAAAGAGAAGTGATAAATTCAAATAAACGTTCATTCAATATATGCTATCAGTTTGGATCGATAGTCGCACAATCTATTATCAGTTATCTATTCATGACGATGGCTACGCAATATGTAGAAAGGTTGCAATCTTATGTCTGCTCTTAATATCTTACCATTCCACACTCATACAGATAAACTTCTTTGTTTTTTACACAATCATCTAGTTGGAAGTAGTTGCATCAGAGATTCTCATTTCTATCTACTTGAAATTTTCTGTCAATGAATCAAAGTATCTCTTTTGTTTTTTGTCTTTTTTGTTAAGTGCGAAAATATCGAACAGAGTAAACTCTCACGTTCTTCAACTCATTGTCGATCGGACAGCAAACATGCGTACAGGCGTGCGCTCGTCAAGCATATAACCTTGAATGAATAGGCTCATTCATCATCATCCATTCGTACAGTGTTCATGGTTCAGCTACATGTGTGTATGGGAAAAAAAAAAGATCAAGAAACAAAAGGGCATCTGTATATTTATTTGGATCATGTCTGTCTATTCTGAATCAATGGATGAAAAAACTTCTGACGCAATGGTCTATCTCAATTTGACAGCAAATGAAAGATCAAATACCATTCACATGGATAGACATTTTTCACTTATCGTATTTTTTCAATTTAACAGTCCTATATAAATGTCAAACATATATTTATAAAGATTGCTTATGAAACGTGAGAGAAAGAATAGATATCTATCACATGTATATTGAAAAAAATCATTGATATAAAGAATTTTATTATCAGCTGTTGAAATTCATTTCTTATTTTTTAATATGGATAAAACGGATAAAAGACTTACTTTCACGTCTATTGCGTTTTTCTTCTCGCGTATTCTTATGTCGTTAAAATAAAATAGAAAAAAGAACAGTAGCGTAATTGTATGTCTGTATTAGACCATATTCGATGTGTGAAATTGTTTTATTCGTTTGTTCAATAAACTTGCTCGTTTCGATATTGACCTACAATGTGTTGATGATAATAGTGAACATCATCATCGATCGAGTGTATGTGTAATAGTGGAAGAAGGAGACGAACAACAAGTGTATGCACAATAACGAGAATATGTAGCATCTATAGACAGTAGAGAAGAGAAAAAAAAAAGCAAAAGGATAGAGAACGAACATCTATATATTCACACATACATCGAAAGAAAAAGAATTGTACAGCAGCAAATCAATCAGAATAGAGAGAGGGAGAGAGAGAAATAAAATGACAGACAAGTATTAATATATAGATAGAGATGGCGAGATCTGGCTATTATCATGGGAAGTGCCTGTCAACAAACTCGCTTATGTTACTAGAAACAGTTTTTATATGGCGGCAGTCATCTAATCAATATGATGATGAGACACTTCGAATGAAAATGAACGCATAGTAAAAATGAATTTTTAATTTCATTGTCTTTTCGGTCTTTGCTTTTCCTACTCACGCACATGCACACACACCACTCGACGTTTACTTATCAGCTTCATCAAACCATCAAAAAGAAAATGGGTGGTCGGCAATTATTGACAGTTCACAATGAACGACAGGAAACCGAAGATTATTTTATTATAATCATCGCTCATTCATAGAAATGTAAGCAACTAACGAATGAAATGAACAGATGCGTGACAAATCAATATCTACCTTTGTACGAGTAATTCGAATTTTTTGTTTTCATTTGAACCTATGTAAATCAATCATTTTTTTTTTTTTGATTGAGATTATAATTTCCTTTATTTCACAAATAATATTGAAATAGTTTATTTTTAAAAAAATCGGAAGTAAAAACGTGTGAAATGTTTGTTCGTCTTACAAAATATAAAAATCACGTCTGTATATAAATTATGATGATTCTTGACTTAATGAAAATATGTATTTATGTTCAATTAAGATTTTTCTTAGTTCATATAAGAATTTTCAGTTACTGATAGTTACACCATTCATTATTTGCCAACTAGCTTTTTTTCTTCTTTCATCATTATTAATATTATTGATGATGACTAATCCGTTTCTATATTACTTTAGAGTGATGCATTGAAATTCGAGTCACTTTGATCTCTTCAATCTTATAGTACGATTCAAATAACTTGAGCATACATTGATGCAATGCTCTTCTCTATTCTATATTTTCATCAAGTGTTACTGTTCGCTATTCAATCATCACATGATTGTAGACAGAAGGAAAAAAACGTTTAATATGCATAAAAATAAAAACCAAAATTCATTATTGATTTTTTCGAGTGTTTTCTCTATACGTAAGTTTGACCGTTACATCTATGTATTAACGTTTACGAAAATAAGAGAATATAGATTTGAATATATCTATATGAGGAAGATAATTATTCTTCTTAGTTTAAGATAAACAAAATCACACCCGAATATAAATGAACAACGACGATGATGATGATGAACGGTTGAACAGACGAAAGCTAAATTAACAAACAATATATATATATATATATATATACAGATAGATGGAGATTGACAAGAGCAATGAAGGGCGTCGTTCAACCTTTTGTTGAACATAGTAATACTTTAAATTAATATATTTTTATTTAGGATTGGTTCATTTTGAAGAATATTAACGAAAGAAAGCGCAACTAAAGATGAAATTCATACGTGTATTCTTTGTTAGATAATATATTTATATCTAAACATAACATAGCAGCTGCGAATAGAATGTCGATATTAATAGACAATCCTTTCTAGTCATATATAGAAGTATTTTTCCAAGACATAAGATCTGTCACAAGTGATTTCTTGTTTGATATTATGCCGTTTAAAAATATTTACAGATTACTTTTTTTTTTTCAAAATGTTTAGTTTTGTTGAGTATTGATAAAAACCATATGTGGTTTCTATGTATAAAATGATCAAAACATTAGAGAAATGATACTAACAGCATTTTTTCTAATGATGTCAGTTCGAGAATGTATATATTAATTTGATTATATAACTGTCGTCTGGCATTTTGCAAGAGTAGATCAAAAATTTATTGAATCGTGTAAAAAAAAAAGAAGAATGCTTTTTTTCTTCTTCTTTATAACAAAGAATTACAGTTCTGCAACATGTTTTACTTTAGTATATGGTATTTTTAATTGTCATTTTCATTGGAATTGATTCTAAGATAAATCTTAGACACATGAGATGCTTATTCATAACTAATTACTATGATATTATTATTCTTTTAAATGATCAATAAACACAGACAATGCAGTCAAATTGTAGAAAAACAATAGATTATTTTCAATTTATTAGTCTATTTTCGAATAACAATATATAATGAAAACAAGGTAATAGTAAGTTTTTGTTTGAAACCATAGAAATATTTGAAATTCAATAACTGATGTACAAGTTACTACCACAATAATTTGCATAGACGGAAAAATCCATAACGAATGACAATACCACACTAATAGAAAAAAGGGTATCACTGGATTATATGTTACAACTTTTGTGAAATTAATTTCCGACATTAATAGCATTTTTTAATTTTAATTGTAAATTTATATGACACAATATAAGATTAAAAAAGCTTGTTAGCACAGTCCCTTTGGGGCTGAGATGTGGAACTCGCATATCTTCTTTAGTTTCATTGTACTAATGACAAAATATATAATGTTTAAATTCTCTCAAAGACGATAATTCTTTTCTAATGATAATCGATTATCAGCAAATGTTGTCTTTTTTTTATTTATATACTTCGAACAAAATTTTTTTTTGTGAAGTTGCTATGGTCTGTAATGGGAGCATGTCTGTAAAGGGTGGGGAGCCGCGAAACCTTGAACTTAAAACTTACACGCACTATTTTCTTCGAAAATATATATGAATTCCACAAAATGACAAAGTGAATGAAAACGAGAGAAAAAACTATACAAAAAAAATTTTTATTGAAGTCAAAAAAACCATATAGTCTTGTTTTTCTTATGTAAACGTGTAATTCCAGCATGGTTTTTAATGTACGCTTATTTCAAAGAAAATATGCGCGGATATTTTCTTATATATTATTGTTTTAATTCATTAATAATTAATCATGATGTGACAAATTTTTAATTTTACGTAATATATTTAGTAGGTATGAACTCAGTATTAAAAACTCGATTAAGCTATGCGAGGGTGCCTGTATGTGTTGACAGAGAACTCAAAGGTACGTCACACATTCACTAAGACTCTTACATGATTCCAGAGTTCTGATATTAGTCTCTTGCTCTCGAATCTTAATGAATAATATCAGTGGCGTAGCCAGGAATTTTTCAGTCATGGGCAATTCATCAGCCGAACTATTTTGAGTTACGAGCAGCTAAGAGCAACCGTTATGATTTCAAAAATATCTATGGGCAACGACTGTTCAAGCACTGCATAGCTCAATAAATTCATGGGCAATAACTTTTGAAGCTATGGGCAATTGCCCAATGGCCCTACCCCTGGCTACGCCAGTGAATAATATCTTTCTTCTGAAATTTTAAGGTTTCAAATCAAAAAAATACATGTTATTTGTCATATGGTCGTGTTATATTCCATACAACTATAAAATATTTAACTGTGACTTTTCTAATCTAATGTTTGTAGTTTTAGATTGTTTAACGAAAACTACAAACGTGTTTGTTCTTTTCAATGTAAGATAGATAAAATTTGTATTTGATTGACTCAAACATTAGGAAGATCAGTAAGAAACATGAAAAATAGTTTGTTAATGTTTTCACTCAAAGTTCGTTCACATCTTTTGACAAGAGTTAAAATCGATTCTATATTAATCATTATCGAAAAATATCTTTCATTATATCAAATATTACACTGCAGATCCAAGTTGATGATTCTCCATTTTTCATTTATTCCAATACATAAATTTAATTGCACATGTCGAAAATCAAAAAATTATTTTTTATTTTGTGGTTAACTTTTTTTTCTAAAATCACATAAAAAAAAATAGATGCAAGCATTCATCAATTTGCGGATTGAAAAATAATCGAAAAATAGTACTCAATAAAGATCAGAAAAAAGTAACAAAAAACACACTAGCAGCAATACAATAAAAAAAAAATACTATATAAAGGCATCAAACGAAAAATTAACAAAAAAGTGATAGAAATGTTGGTTCGGTCATAATGAAATGATTGCACTATTTTGAAGTTTAAATATAAGTAAAATTATTTGTGGAAAACAATACGTATAATCTGAGAAGAGAGGAACACATTCAACATCATATTGGCACATGGAAACCAATAATTGTAAATTCCTGTGTAATACACGTAAAAATAGACTGTAAGTTAAACGTGTATTTGTTTGAATAACTAACCTATCTACATATTACTTTCTAAGCCCCAAATACAATCCAAGAGCCAAAATAACTAATACAATGATTAAAATTGTAATTAGAATAATTTTTTTACGTCGAGCAGAAGACTAGAATTAAAAAAAAAAAGGATATACTTTTGATGAATAATAAGTAAATAACCTGATAAGTAACAGCTTTTGTTAGTTTTTGATTACCCGATTCTACATGCGTTTCAGCATCAGCTATATGTTCACCAATAGAATCTAAATAAATGAAATGATATATTGTTTAATCTATATGCATTATGCATTAGTAGTATTTTCTATTAAGCGAAAACCATCTATTTTATAAAAGCTTGAACAAGTTGTGGATTGCTTTGTTCTACTTGTTCAATAGAATTAAATAAGATTATTTCTCTAAAATTCTACGCATAGTTTTTTTTTTATCTCTTTAATTTAGTTATAAAAATTATTAAAAATCTTACCAATTATTCCACCATGACTATGAACAATCTGAGCAACATCTTTGAATAGTTCATTAACTTCAACAATATTTGTCTAAGAAAAAGTAACATTTCTTTTTAACAAGCTTCTTCAAATTAATTTTATACTTCAATTTGACGTAACTGTTCATCACGTTCTCTTAAACCTCTTAGATCAACTTCTTGTTCCATTGGTAAAATAGATTGTTGTTGAAGTTGAGTATTTGAAGGTTCAGATATATCAGTATTATTTGATTCATGTATACTTTGTTGTCGATATGTAACAGCTCGAGCACGTTCAAGACTTTCTTTTTCTTTTCTAGCACCTGCACGTTGTGTTTCTTGAAAACGATTCAATATTGCTAAATATTGTTTTGGTAAAGTTTCAGCCAAATTTTTTCTACGTTTCTATAAAAAGTTTGTTCATTAAATTTTTCTTTTTGTTTTTCTTTTTCACCTGATCAGCCTCACTTGCTAGAGGAATACTCTGAAGTTGTTGAAGAATATGATTTGTTTCTTGCATTAATAATTTTGTTTCATTTTGTAGACGAAGACTGATTGAGTGTAAAATGACATTCATATTTAATCATAAATTTATTTAACTTACTAACGTTCTCGTAATGGTTCACTATCTTCTGGTGTACCTAATTTTTTCACAAGCATTTCAAGATCACTTGCTATGAATAATTAAATAATAGATAAAAAGAAAAGATCAACAAATCATTTAACATACTGTGGCTATTAATCTTTGCTAGGTTAGCCGATATAGCATTACATAAACGTTGAAAATCGCTAGCCGTTGCCACTAAAACCAACAATACAAATAAATTTTCTCGGAATATTTTTCTTACTTTTTGATGACCAAGTGTCGATACAATTGTCGATCTGAAATAAAATATTCTCTTAAAATACAATCTAAGATTAGCTATGTCACATTGTAGCATGTTAATATAACCCTATTAAAATATATTAGAAGTAAGCAAAAACAAGGATTAATCTACGTAAATATGAAAGTTTGAGATTAATTTGCATGTTAGGATTTTTTTCTTCCTCTCACTTGTAATAACACATCATCTGATGGATCAGCCATGAATATTGTCTTCGATTCTTTCACTTAATTTATCTCACAAACAAGAAAATCGTTATCAATTATTCACTAAAGTAGAATTCTCAAGTATTCAACACTTACTAATAAATTCTTTACTTTGTACTACTCCGTATTCACTCTTTCTCATACAATCGCCCACACATCTGATAATGACTCACTGCAAGTTTCACAGTCATTATAAGCAGATGGCGCTGCAATTATACGAAACTAAATAAAAAATATTGAATAATCAAATTTTATTTTAAAAAATTCTTTTTTTTTTCTTAGTAATTATATATTTGTTATACTTAAAATATTAACCAGTCAAAATGCATGTCTTTATCCCAATTCACAGTCTGTCAGCCAGCCAGTTAGTCAATCAGTCAGTCATCTATTTGATTCTTACTTTATTGAATAAAAAGCGCCACTTTAAAATCCAAAACTTAAAAAATAAATGGATACTGGAGATTTAAATTTACCTGCATGTAAATATCAACTTGAGCAAGTACATATATCTTTTCTGAAATCGCTTTAATATTAATTTATTTTTGCATTGATTTTTTTTCAGGTCGAATTAGCACTCAAAGCAAAACCAGATGATCCTGAATTACTCAAACTAAAACAAGATCTTGAAGTAATATTTCTTCATTTATTTATTTTTTAACTAATTATTTCATTTAGGAAGTCATACAAATAACAGCTGAATTACTTGGTTGTGATCCATCCATCTTAAATTCTGATGAAACAGCAACAACATTAACGAATTATAATGAAATAGCATCTTCCAGTTATTCATCATCATCACAATTAAATAATACAACAGCATCATCATCATCAGCTCGTTCAGCTATTAAATGGAAAACAGGTGATCGATGTTTAGCACCTTGGAATGAAGATGGAAAGTATGTAAAATTAGAATTTTTTACAATTTCAATTCTATATATATATTTTTTTTTCTAATCAGATATTATGAATGTACGATTGATGATGTACTTGATGATGGAACATGTACAATTGTTTTTGATGGCTTTGAATCAGCACCATTAACGATAGTTCGAGTAAGTATTTAATGTAGTTAAAAATAAAAATATTTCAATATTTTATTATTTCTAAAGGCATCAAAATTAAAACCATTCGATCGAACCCGTTCTGATTTTAGTGGAATAAGATCAGCTGCTAATCGAGCCAAAACAAAGTAAATATTACAATGAAATGTTTTGGTTTTTTTGATTTTGATCTTTTTTTTTTATTTAATAGACGAGAATTAGAACAACGGTTACGTGAACTTAAACGTCGAAAAAAAGAGAAGAAAGTGGCAAAACTAAAGGAATTCGAAGAAGAACGTGAAAAAGATAAAAAACGATGGACAGATTTTAATTCTAAAGTAATTAAATAATAAATCATATTCATTTCAAAAATATTTCTTTATTTAGTTAACTGGTCGAACATGGAAAGGTGTCGTCTCAAAGTCAATGGTTAAAACTGATAAACGAACTGAACAATTACATGGTACAACAAATGGTTATTTAATATCAAATTATAAACCAGCTCAACCACGACCATAGATTTGTTTGATGTATCATATATGTGACAGCGATCTTGGTTTTTTTCTTCTTGTCATTTTTTGTTCGTCAGTTTCGTTTTTTTTTTCGTTTAAAATGTAATCTTTTGTGTATGTGAAAGAAAGATATGAATAAGAATGACACTTATATGTTATTCTAGATTTTTTTTCATTTCTTGGATTTGATTTAAATTCTGTGAGAAATAACAACGATTGCTTGAAAAATGCAAAGTACTCGTCTGTTAATTACCGCACAACGTTGTTCATCAACATCTAGAATTAATCATTTATTGAGACGATGTCTCACTATTTCTAATTCAACAAGTAAAATAAACCTCAACAAGTGAGCAATTATAACAAAAACAAAAGAATATTGTTGAGTTTAGCAGTGTTCAATGAAGTTGATCAAAAAATTTTTAATTGTGCAGAAATGAAAATTATATCTTGAAATAGATGTATTAAATAATCGAAAAGAAATTCCTAAAAAGTTTGTATAAAGATAATTCTCTTAAAATTTCTATCAAAGATCTGACACCTATTGATTTAAAAAAAGTATAGAAAAAACACTTCAAAGTACTGTTTTATATTAGATTTCAATAAAACATAGTTTGTATCGGCTATTTGGACTTCATATTTGAGATATTTTTGGAAACTGTCATGTGAACTATCAGTATTTTAAAGTTGTTAGACTTCTAACTATTCGGTTATTGCAGTACTATCGATATTGTTTATTGGTATTCTATTGTAGATACTCTTGAGATAATATTTTAATTAAAAAAATATGTTTTTGTTTTCATTATTTTAGCTCATCTCTATTTCTAGTCGATTCAAACCTTTCATCATGTAGCACTAGTGGTCGATTATTATCACTATCAACAAGTAACATAATCCATATTCGACAAAATCTACCTGTTCGATATGCTTCATCCAGTAGTTTACCATCTCATAAAAGAATTACTCTTCCAGCATTATCACCAACTATGGAAACCGGTACAATACGATCATGGTCTAAAAAAGAAGGAGAAAAAGTTGCTGAAGGTATATATCATTAATGTGATGAGCAGTTCTTTACTTATCGTTTCTTTTTTTTTTTATAAAGTTCGATTATCGAAAAGTTTCTTTCGAAAACAATGACAAGAAAATATTTTTCTTACAGGTGATGTATTGGCTGAAATTGAAACAGATAAAGCAACATTAGGATTTGAATCAAGCGATGATGGATATCTAGCAAAAATTTTTATACCTGCTGGAAGCAAAGATGTATCTGTTGGAAAAGTAAGTAAATAGTTATTCAAGTTTTTATTATGGAACTATGCAATAATTTATATATTTAGCTTTGTGCTATTATTGTTGAAAAAGAAGAAGATATAGCTGCATTCAAGAATTATAAAGATGATAGTAGTGAATCATCAGATGAAAAAGCTACTATATCTGAAAAAACTGCAAAGAAAGAAAATGTACCTACGAAAAAAGATGACTTAACGAGTCAAAAAGAACAAAAAACAACATCAACTCGTAGTTCAAGTGATGATGATCGAATTGTGGCATCACCTTTTGCTCGAAAAATTGCTCAAGAAAAAGGCATAGATCTAGATGTAAATATTCAATTCTCTATGTTGTATGTACAACAAAATCATATCTTATTTAAACTTTCTAGTCAATTCAAGGTAGTGGTCCTAATGGTCGAATTATAGCTGAAGATGTTGAAAAATTTATAAAAGAAGGCGGTGTCAAAACTAAACTAGACGCTAAAAAAGTCAAAGATGCTCAAACAACTCCGTCTAAAGCAGCTAAAAAAGATAAAGAAACAGCAATAGGTACAGGCGGTTATGATGAACAACAAATATCAGAATTACAAGCAGTAAACAATTTATACACAAAGATTTCATTTTATTCTATAATTCATTTTCTTTTCTCAGGAAAATGCTCGTCGTGTAACTCAATCAAAGACTACAATACCACATTATTATTTAACTATTGACATTCAATTAGATGAAATACTCAAGTATGTTCTTTTAAAACTGAATGAGTTTTTCGTGATTTAGGAACTTTTTTTTTTTCTAGATTACGTCAAAAACTTAATGATATATTAACACCTAAATCAAAGGATTCAAAAGAAAAAATACGTGGTATTTCAGTAAATGATTTTATTATAAAAGCAGCTGCACTTGCATGCAAGAAACGACCTGAAACCAATAGTGTTTGGATGGATAAATCTATCAGACAGTAAATAATATCACTGAATTTTATTATTCATTTAATTTAAAATATTTATATAAGATATGAAACAGTTGATATCAATGTTGCAATCGCTACTGAAGCTGGTCTTCTTATGACGCCTATTATTTATAATGCAGATCAAAAGGTAAATTTTTATTATGTTTAAAATGAAATAGTTCTGTTTTCTTTAGGGTCTTTCTACCATCAATAAAGAAATATCCCAATTGAGCGAGAAAGCAAACAATGGAAAATTGAATGACAATGAACTTGAAGTAAATCAATAGAATTTTTTTTGTTTTTGTTTTATCATTCTAATTATAGATGGGAACATTTACAATATCTAATTTGGGAATGTATGGTATAACAAATTTTAGTGCTATAATCTATCCTCAACAAGTATGCCATATAGAATAAAGAATAATGTTTGAATTGAAACAAAAGCAAAATATATATGTATTCTTACTTTTATCTTTCTAGTCAGCTATTTTAGCTGTTGGTGGCGTTGAAACAAAAATTGTACCTGCGGCAGATTCTCCAAAAGGGTATGGAATTATTTTTCTTTATTAATCAGTTGAATTTCTTCGCTTTAATAGTTTCCGGCAATCAACTATTCTCAATGTAACATTAGCATGTGATCATCGTGTCATTGATGGTGCTATTGGTGCCCAATGGTTACAAGAATTTAAACAATTTCTTGAAAATCCTGGATCAATGATTTTATAAACAATATTATGCTAGAATGTGTCTTGAATTGTCGTCTTATACCCCATCTATGCTCCATATATTAGTCATAAATTGTTGCCTAGCTTTGTGATATAACTACTCTATTGCGTGCGTATTATATCTTCATTTATTTTTAGTAAACGGCAACCAATATAACAATTCATGGTTCTCATTTTTTTAATCATTTTTCTTTTCTATCTGATTCATCAGAACTATAAATAGAATACATGAAAATATGGAATGTAAATCTAATAGAGATCAGTCCATAAATTTACTTCATCGAAAAGGAAATTATTTATTTTCGATATAACTTGACCTAATGAATTAAAATTTACACCAGAGCTAAGCGGATATGAATAGTTTTTTTTTCTTAAAATAAACGCTGACGAAATGGTTTTTTGTCAAGTGTTATTATTTCTTTTAATGTGAAAAAAAAATATAGAATTGAAAATAATTACAAGTCAATTGGCTCAAATTAATATGTGTCAAGTTGATTTTA